TCATCTGTCAATGGACATCTTGACTCTTTCCACAGTTTGGCTATTGTGGACATTGCTGCTATAAACATTGGGGTGCACGTACCCCATCAGATCCCTACATTTGTATCTTTGGGGTAAATACCCAGTAGTGCAATTGCTGGATCGTATGGTAGCTCTATGGAAACCTCCACACTGTTTTCCAGAGTGGCTGCACCAGCTTGTATTCCCACCAACAGTGTAGGAGGGTTCCCCTTTCTCCGCATCGCCGCTAACATCTGTCGTTTCCTGACTTGTTAATTTTAGCCATTCTGACACACCAGCAATCTATTTAACAAATGTTTACTGAATGCCTACGTTGTGCAAGGTACCGCCTAGCATGAAAAGGTGAATAAGTTAGTAAAATATAGATTCTGTTCTCAAGGACTTTCAAATAAGGTAGGGGAGATGTGACCAGTGTGACAAAAACCTATTCAACAAAGGATAAAGACTGTCATAAGGAAAGTACAAGTGCAATGAAACTGGAGAGGATGCCTAACTAGAATCAGGGACAGATTCTGAAGGAAAGGTGCTATAGTCTAAATGCTTTTGTCCCCTTGAAATTATATGTTGGAATTCTCACCCCCAGTGTAATGATATTAAATGGAGATGGGACGTTTGGGAAGTGAGACGTGTCCTACTCTTGAGGCCCCAGAGAGCTTGCTTTCCCTCCTCCACCACAGAAGAACAGAGCAAGAAGGTGCTGGCCGTACACCAGGAAGCTCTCACCAGCTGCCGAATCTGCTGGCACCGTGATCTTGAGACTTAGCCTCAGAATTGTGAGAAATAAATGCTGTCTACGAGCCACCCCGTCTGTGGTATTTTGTTATAGCAGCCCAAACAGACTCAGAAAAGGTCCATCTCAGCTGGCTGAGATAGGAAATGATTAACTCTAGTTTTTGTAAGGGTAAGGTACATGGAAGGCAAGTTTAAACTACAAAGTTGAGAGGGTCTTCTGGGACCAGAGCAGGGATATTTCTGAATGCCAGGCTAAGTGGTCTGAATTTGAATCAGAGGTCATGGATAGTCATTGAGATTTTTCATGCTCATACTACATTTTCAAAAACTAGGGGGTGAATAAAAGATGCTTTGGCTCCTTGGAGAAATGATTAATTCCTGGGGCTGGGGCATTAATAGTAAATGATGAGTGTGGAAAATCTGGTGGTGCCAGAAAGTACCGAAATGCTCATAAAATACTTTAGCGGAAGCTGAAAGGATACAGGAGCCAACTTGAAGGGGCTTCCAAAGGCCAAATCTTGGGCAATTTGAGCAACAAATAATAATGGCAATGGGTTATAAGTCCTAGTATAAAATAAATAAAGGAATCCGTAGTACTATAAATGAATAATTAAAAAAATACATATATAGGGGAGAAGGGACAGCTCTTCCTTACATCAAAATTCTAATTAATAAATGCTGAAGGAATGAGGGAAATAGAAAACGTAAAAACACCATAGCAATCGTTACTGCAGCAAGAATCTCTGATGGATCCTAAAATCAGTGGACAAAAGCATGAGAAACAAGATATTTGTCTAGTCTCAAAGCATCTCTCTCAAAGATACTTCTTAATTACAAAGGGAAAAACAGTAACTTCATAAATGAGAAACCTGGAAGACACCATCCGAGCCAGGTGATCGAGGTTAGCATCCCGTGATAGGACACAGCAAGAGCATACACCTCCCGAAGAGCTGCATTATAAGGGCACGGCAGCACTTCTGTGGTATTCTTGCTGATGATATATAAACTCAACCTAACAATGAGAAAATCTCAAACTAAAACTGAAGAACATCCCACAAATAACTGGCTAGTATTCTTCAGTATTTTGGTGCTGATGCCGTGGGAGAGAGTCTGAGGATGGAGAAGACGAGAGGACAAAATCTCAGTGAACAGTGACATTAGGAGAAGGGAGAGAGAAGAGCAACCAGACAGGCAGGGGGAGAACTAGGACCACACTACAAGTTCTGGAAAGTGCCGTGTCAATACTGCCAACACTATGGACAGGTTTAGAGGGTGAGAAATGACAAAAAGTTACTTTATTTGGTGGTTGGCAGTTGTTTGTGACTTTTGAGAGTAGCTTCAGTTGAATGACAAGAGGTTAGGTGTTTTCTTTCTTTTTCTTTTTTTAAAAGATATTATTTTTAAGTAATCTCCACAATGAATATGGGGCTTGAACTTACAACCCTGAGATCAAGAGTCACATGCTCTACCGACTGAGCCAGCCGGGAGTGCCCCCCCCTTTTTCTTAAAGAGTATTATTTATTAGACCCTGCAAGAGATGAAAAGAGACTTTATCTCTCTTTTTAAAAAGATTTATTTATTTGAGAGAGAGAAAGCAGGGGGAGGGGCAGAGGGAGAGGGAGAAGGAGAAGGAGGAAGCAGACTCCCCACTGAGCGCAACACAGGGCTCAATCTCATGACCCTGAGATCAGGACCTGAGCCAAAATCAAGAGTCAGACGCTTAACTGACTGAGCCACCCAGGTGCCCCAAGACTTTTATCTCTTTTTAAAAAGGCTTTCTCAGTTTTAATTCTCATGGTGACCCCATTAATCCTTTTTATAGATGAAAACAGTGAGACTGAGAGGTTAAATGGCTTGTCCAAGCCCTCAGGGAAAGGAAGTATAAATGGAAGCTTTGACCAAGTTGTGTTTGATCCCAAAGTTTATGATTTTAATGACTTAATGCCTCTTTCTCTCATGGAAGCCAGACTAAAAATGGTTAAGGGCCAGTAAGGAAGCAGAGGTGGCAAGTGGAGAGGACTCTTGGGGTAGGACTGGTGGATATGGAAGGGAAGAGATGGGACCGCAGCTCTGGTCGGCAGGAGAGAGGGCAGCTGCTTTTTTGAGTTATAGGAGACATTCATCGGTTTGTTGAGAATTTATTTTTTATTTTTAAAGATTTATTTATTTATTTACTTGTCAGAGAGAGAGAGAGAGTGCATGCACAGAAGCAGATGGAGAAGCAGGCTCCCCGCTGAGCAGGGAGCCCGATGCGGGGCTTGATCGGAGAACCCCAGGATCATGATCTGAGCCGAAGGCAGACGCTCAACCAACTGAGCCACCCAGGCGTCCCGGTTTGTTGAGAATTTAGGAAAAGAGTGAAACGAATTGTGAGAGAAAAGCAACATGTAGAGATAAAAAATACTGGTGGAGGCAAGTGCTTTGGGAAGGATGGTAAACATTTCCTTCTCTGAGGCAGACGTGAAGTGAGTGTTGGTAAGGATTAACGGAGTTTTGAGATGGAGGCACATGGAGATGAACTGTCTTGGTAATGTAGGAGGCCAAGAGGTGTGGCAGGGTGTGGAGGAGAATGCAAATGATTTCCATATCTGCTCTGGGGAAAATAGAGATGTATGGAATGGTAACTGGGCAATAGGAAAGTCCCAAGTGAGATGAGAATATGAATTCACAGCAGTAGTAATAAGGCCCAGTTGTTCTGTTTTTAGAGATGAGATGTTCATTCGTTCATTCAAATGAATAGGGTATTATAGGTGGACGTTATAGGTCTGTGTCACAGTACACACCTAGGGGTCTGGAATTTCACTGAGAGTCTCAGGTCCCAGTTCTCAAAAGTCTCAAGAGTCCCCCTTTCTTCCCTGGTGAGAACACTGGACACCTTAGAACGAGGTCACACATATTACTGATATTTCAGTGCAAAACCACCCAAATCCTCAGTCTGTTTTGAAGACTGAAACAAAATGCCACAAGGCTACAATTTTCCCCAGAGGCTTACATTGTTGAGACCAGCATTTTTCTTCTCACCAAAATTTTGAAATTGAGTTCTTTTATATCAGCAGCTCTTGAGACACCATAAAGCAAACACTTTTTTAGAAAGGTCTTCAGAGAATTAAAGTTCACTAGCAGATACACTGCCTAGTGCCTCTGGTGGGTTTGAGTATAAACACAGAGAGTCATGTCCTCCTCACACCTCTATGATGCTGGTCTTCAAGCCTAGGGTGAGGGATTCTGGCCTCTGTTCTTACCTCCAGGGCTACCTTCTCTTCTCTACACATGAAAGGCTGTGGGCACGGTTCAGTTCTGACTTCCCACTGCAGTCTCTTTGCTCCTTCACTTCTCCTTCCTCCCTTTGTGCTCAGTGGAGAATTCCCTGGTTGTTAGGTGGGGACTTTTTGTGGCTGCTGATAAATGCAGCTTCCTAAGTGCCTCCCAAGGGCTTTAGAACCATGTCCTGCTGTGGTGTGGAAGGGGCAGTGGCAAGTGGGCCAACACTGGGACGTCTGCACAGCCAGTATTCCCCGTGATCTGCGCCCTACTGGATTTGATGTGCTCTGCCTAGACTCATGAGGTGACACAGGAGACAAGGAGGACTCCACGGCAGGGAGGAAGAGAAAGGGAGGACAGGCAAAGCATCGGAGTGGGGCAGCCATTACCTGGGCACGCTTCTTGCACAGAAGTACAACAATGCTCAGGAAGCCAGCCGCCGCTGCATAGCCCAGAGGGGTCAGGCCGCTTTCAGAAGAGGCATCCACATTGGCCCCAAACTCCAACAGTAGGGCCACCATTTCTGTGTAACCAAGATGAGACTGGACACACAGAATTGGAGCATTATTTAAAACCTCTGTCCGGTAATTAATGTTGGCACCTCCCAAAATCAGCAGTCGGCTGACCTAGAAATAAGTACACAGAAATTACACTTAGGCAAATTTCAGTTGCATCCTTTCAGTCATCTTTAATTAAGTCATCAGGGACCCCACAACAGCACCTAGTAGCACTTAGTAACTGCTTTATTTTATAATCTTCACTTGTTCTTTTTTTGATACCTTGCCTTCAGAAAGGGTTGTAAAATGTCTCCTTTCCATGAACTGCTCAGTCATGAGAGCAGACGCCACCCACACTATAGTGCTGAACACAGCCTCTTCTAAGTGAACTGTTGGTCAGAAAAGCTCCTACCCGAACAAAGCCTACCTGAGATCAATTTACTGCCTAGAAGCAGGAGGACCTAATCCTATAAACCAGAGCCAGAAGGTAGTAGCTCAACAGGTCTGGTCTTCAATTCACAGAATAAAATCCAACAATTTCAAATATATTAGATTATCAATAAAAGGCTGACTGATAGGAGACAGTCTAAGGTTAAGTCAAATATCAGTTAAATAGCCACTTAAATGTCCCAATTTTATTTCTGCACAACTAATTCTTTAATCTATCTGTAATTCACAAGCATCTACCTTTATATTTGGAGTGTAGAGATTTCGTAAAGATGCCAATGCCATGGAAAGACCTTCTGTGCTATAGGAGATCCAGAGACCTTGGAGGATGGAAGATGACACACCAACTTTTTTACTCAAACCCTGAAAAAGAAATAGAGACAGTTAAATTATTAGCCCAGCTGAGGAGTACCATGAGTAGTGAGTGGCTTCTAGGCTTGTTGTACTAAGAAATGAGAATGGAGTCTTGCCCTAACTACGTCCAGGCCCAGCAAAGCCAATCCAAGGAAGGAAGATACTAACAATGAAGTTTGGCACCTAGTAAGTGAATCTGGGGAGGTATACTCTTAAAAAAGTTAAGCTACTTCTGCCTGCTTTGTTCCTTGAAATGCTGGTTGTTCTTGCCTAGAATACCTACTTATGTCTAAAACAGCAATTCATGGCCAACCTTGTTTCATTTATACTCCTGACCCTATTCTCCTTTCCCCATCACTGAATTATTTGGAAGCAAATCCCAGACATCTTATCAGTTAATATACAACTATTTCAGTAAATGCCTCTAAAAAGATAAGGGCTCTTTTTAAGACAAAGCCCAACATCATTATGATACCTAAAATTAACAAGGATTCTATAATATGAAATATCCAGTGTTCAAATTTCCTTGACTGTCTCAAAAAAAGAAATAATTTTTTTTTCTAAATTGTAATCCATAAAAGATCCATATACTATAACCAATTTTAAAACACTTTAAAAACGTAAAGGGAAAATGAGATTTTCTTATATTAATTTTTTAAACAAAATATTGTGCACATATTCCATACATGTACACATGCTTTTGCCTCATTCTATTTCAAGAGATATAGTAGTCCATTATATGGATATATCATAATTTACTTACAGATAAGTTAGATTCTAGAGCTCACCTCTACCATAGATCCTGGAAAACCAGGAAACTTAGCTCTGACTCCCTCTTTGGGCCTCAGTCTCCTAATCTGGACTATGTGTGAGCCTCACCAAGATCTTTTGAGGAACTGTAAACTGTATTAACCAATTATACAGAAAAATCATTATAAATTGATATTTATAATTCAACAGAGGAAGCTTTTAGTAATGGAAGACAAGCTCTATATATTATGGTTGAAGGAAAAAAAGAAAGGGAATCCAACATTTATTCAGTATCTGCTATGTGTCAGGTTCTATGCTAGGGCCTTTTCATGTTAGTTTCTTTAATCTCCATGACAGTCCTATGAAGTTGAATTTATTACTATTTTTATATAGGAGGAAACAACCCAGAGAAGGCTAAGTAATTTGCCCAAAGTCCTACAACCATTAAAAAGTGGAGCTGGAATTAGAAGCCAAGTCCTTTTAACTCTAAACTTCATGTTCCTTCCATTAGACCAAGTTAAACCTGAGCCAGGACTTTAATTCTGAATTCTTAGCTGGAAAAGTAGCAACTAAAATAAACAAAGCAGCTGATTGCTGGCTTCTCCCTTTACCTTTAATTCTGAACCATTCTCTACCCTTGAGTGCCTTCTCCAAAATTGTCCTTTTTTATCCTAGACAATCTGATCTACTTCTATGGGCTTTGCTCTTATGATTTCAACTAAGCATTATTTCTTTTCTAACTACGATATTTAAAGCACAACTGTGACTATGACCTGTGATAGCCAACTTTCTCTTAAATACTGACTTATGTGAAATTCCTTAGCTATGTTCACTTAATCCACAGAATATTATAAAGATTATCCTACAGAAGAAGAATGCTGGACCAGTGTTTATATTAAAGTCACATAGCAATTCTACTTTTGCTCAAGGTCTCCAGCATCAGAGGGAGTTTAGAAAATGTTGTATTTTAGCTTCTCAGAAAGATATAGCAACTCATTCCTCTGCTCAGGGCCTCTAAGTTTGGGTTTAGTTTTCTTGAATATAAACTGCTTCTTTTTTTCTGTGTGATACCCAGGACAGTTTTGGTCATTCAAAGATACCAAAGGAATTTTAAATGAGAAAGCCTAAGATGTTCAGAGAAAAGGTGGATGTTCCCAGAATACCAAGTCATAATTTTTGCTCAAGGGGACTTGGGTGTACTTCTGGTAATGGTGGATCTAAACTTGATCCTGCTAAGGACAGTTAGGAAAAACTGTACAAAATTTAAAAATTATCCTCATTGAAGACATGGGGAGGAATAACAGGTTGGAGAAGAATTACTAGACCAAGTAAGGATAGGATGGAGCCCAGGAGAGCAGTTTAGAGCTACTTTTCTCCTCCATGTGTTTGCTAATTCTGCAGAATTAGCTAGGAGTACTTTTGATAGCTTTAGAATTTTTAGGGCAGTGAAATTCTTCTGTATGATCCTGTAATGGTGGATACATATTAGGCATTTGGCAAAATCCACAGAAGCATAAAACACAGTTAAAACCTAATATAAACTATGGACTTCAGTTAATGATATATCAATATAGGTTCATCAATTATAATAATGTACCACACCAGTGCAAGAAGTTAATAATAGGGAAAACTGTGGTGGGAGAGTGAGTATATGGAAATTCTCTGTATTTTCTGTAAACCTAAAACTACTCTAAGAAAGTAAGTCTATTAAGAAAAAAAAAAGCCTGGGTTCTACTCCAGAACCATGAATGATAATCTCTGGGAGTAAAGCACAGGGGTGTGTGTGTGTGTGTGTGTGTGTGTGTGTGTGTGTGTGTTTAAAGTTCTCCAGGAGAATCTAATGTATAGCCAAAATTGAAAGCTACTGGCCATTGATCTAGACCTACAGATAAATCTTGAATACACAAAATTCAGTGAAAAAAAGTTACAGAATTACATGAAGAATATGATTCTGTTTATGTCAAATGTAAAAATTAATGGAATAATTCTGTATACTGTTTACGAATACATTTTTATGTTGAAAAAATGCAAAATATGGATAAGAATACATGTGAACTTTAAGGTAGAAATTATCTCTAAAAGGGAGAGAAATAGGGTTAACAGAGGGCTTCTACTCTATGTGTTACATTTTCATTTCTTCAAAATAAAGAAAAAGATTTGAAGCAAATATGGAAAAATCTTAGCATCTGTTAAATCTGGTAGATCGTATTTGATTATTCAGTTATCTGTGCTTTCTGGTATGTTTAAAATATAATTTTAAAAGGGGGGGATAGGGATATTTCTTCCTCAGAGACAAGAGAAAGGGAGGTAAGAACTGATGATACTGTAGATTGATTTTTTGGTGGGAGGAGGAGAGTGGTTAAGGGAAGTCACACTCAATAGCTTTGATTTACTCAGTGACTCATAAGTCAGGCTGTTTTTGGAATTAGTCGACTTGGTTAAGAGCCAGATAAAAAAGAAATGGAAAAAGGAACTGAGTAAGAATAGACCTTGGTAAATGAACTTCAATGAAATGGTCCAGTAACTGGACTACAAAGGAGCACTGAGGGTCCCAGTGAGGTTGAAGTAAATACATAGGAAAGAAGCCTGAAATACAGCGCTAGACTCTAGGATTTGGAATATGAGCTTTACTCGTGCCATGGACTTGCTCTACTGATTTCTTCTGCTTGGTGGGGCTGACTCTTTTGCTTCTATGAGGTATAAGAGGAAAGAGTTTCAGTTTAGTTAAATTTATCTCAACAGACGTGATAGGCAGGATCCCATTATCAGGCAGGATGTGGCCAAAAATAACATGTAATTAAATTCTGAGCTGATGGGTTCTTAAAGAGAACCCTAAGTTCAAATAACTAGAAAAAGTGTTTCTTTAGTATCTGTAACTACTGCTCAGGCAGCAAGGGATCTCTTTTTGTCAGAGATAGATGGTAATGGAGTCCCTTCCTTAAATATTTGTTAGAGTCTAAATTTACAACACTGTTTATCAGCTGGGAGAAAGCCTGCTCAGTAGTTTTAAATACAAACAAGGAAGGCATAAAGAAATGACAGCAATCTCAACCTAGGGATCTTAGGTTTGGCTCACGTATCTTAAGATCATGGCAAAAACTTACCTAGGGGGCTCAACCAGTGAGGTTCTTTAAGGCAAATTATTTACAAATATATCATTAGTGTCTCACCTATAGTTATCCAAGCAACTCAAATAAATCATTACTATTCTTACCGGACCATCCGTGTGGCCATGTTTGGTTATAATGAAAAGATCCTGGTAAACAAAGGGGTTGGCAAACTATAGCCTGGGGCTAAATCCAGCCTTTCATCAGTTTTTATAAATCATGTTTTACTGGAATATGAACATATCCATTTATTTCTGTATCATCTTTAGCTGCTTTTGAATTACAATGGCAGAGTTAAGTGGTTTCAACACGGATTATATGGACTACAAAGCCATATTTGCTGATCACTGCTGTAGAGGATGCTAGGTAGCCTCTGAAAAGGTTATATCACCATCTGGAATTTATGCTCATTATTAATTCTTACTATCAGGCAAGAAATTATTACCAATAATTTTGATCACAAAACCTTAGATATGTCTAGTACTTTGCATCTTATAATGTACCTCTTTTATATATCTTATATCTATGATCCTTATAACAATCCTGAGAGTTAGATATTGTTACCATTTTACAGATGAGAAAACAGACTGCTTAAGTTAAGTGGCAGAGTCTGTACTTGAACCCATGCCTTTTGACTGATGTCGAAAGATCTTTCTTCTACCTACTAGATGCCTACTTATAGCACCTTTCCCCCCTGGCCAAGAGATCTGTTCTGGTAAGAAATGTTAAAGAACTGACTAATCAAAGAAACATTTCAGAGGGCAGCATTTAGGCAGTTAATTGCAACAGCACTCTGAAACCCTTTTGGTGGTCAGACTCAATCCAACGAAACACCCTGCATTCCAAGACGGATTGAAATATCTCTGGCCACAATTCACAAACAGACTGCTTTCTTTTCATAGATTTAAAAAAAAAAAATCTAAATGGCAATTAGAGGATTACAAAAGAACCCTAAGTGCTCAACACCATGGTCATTAGGGAAGTGCAAATTAAAACTACCGTGAGATACCACTTCACACTAAAATGGCTACAATAAGACAGACAATATCTAACAAGTGTTGGCAAGGGCTCGAAAAAACTGGAACTCTCATACATTGCTGGTGAGAATGTAAAACGATGCAGCTACTTTGGAAAACAGATTGGCAATTGCTCAAAATGTTAAACACAGAGTTACTATATGACCTAGTAATTCCATCCTGGTATATATCCAAGAGAAGTGAAGACATGTTCACATAAAAACCTGAACACTAACATTGTAAATGTACTAAGTGCCACTGAGTTGTTCACTTTCAAATGGATAATTTTATTTTAAAAAAATCAAAAAAGGGAACAATCTGTAAGCTAACATTCATAGCAACATTATTCACAATAGCCAAAAAGCAGAAAAAACCCAATGTCCAACTGGTGAATGGATAAATAAACTATGGTATATCTACAAAACAGAATATTATTTGGCAGTAAAAAGAATCAAGTGGGGCGCCTGGGTGGCTTAGTTGGTTAAGCATCCAACTCTTGATTTCGGCTCAGGTTACAATCTCAGGGTCGTGAGACTGAGCCCTGCACTGGGCTCTGTGCTCAGCGTGGAGTCGGCTTGTCCCTCTTCCTCTGTTCCTCCCCTCTGCGCATGTGCGCTCTCTCTACCCCTAAAATAAATAAATTTTAAAAATCTAAAAAAAAAAAAAAGGCATCAAGTGGTGATACATGCTACAACACAGATGAACTCTGAAAACCTGCTAAGTGAAAGAAGCCAGACACAGAAGGCCACATACCGTATGATTCTGTTTATATAAAATGTGTAGAAAAGTCAAATCTATAGAGACAGAAAGCAGATTGGTGGTTGCCAGGAAGTATGGGGAGTACCTTGAAGTGGGCATGAGGTATATTTTTAGGGTGATGGAAATGTACAAATAGTGGTGATAGTTACACAACTCTGTAAATACACTAAAAGTCATTGATTTGTACACTTAAAATGGGTTACTTTTATGGTATATAAGTTAGACCTCAATAAAGCTGTTAAAAACAAAAAGAATGAAAAGAGCTCCTTAGCCAGTCAAATATCCAGAATTACAGGCCTACAACCTCGTACTTTTAAGGTGGTTAATGACATTGTACACAATTTTTTGAACAAAGATAAAACAAAGGGAATTTAAAATTAATTGGAAAGAAATATAAATTGGACTATATGTCACTGCTGATTGGAAGTTCTGAATGGTACTGGTTATAACCACAGAGTCTGTCTTTGCCTTTTCATGACCCTCAACTGATGGGGACTGAAAATTCTAGCAGCTGGGAGAAGCTAAAGTGAATCAACAGGGAGCACTGGGCATTTAAAGGACCCTGAAAAGTGGACCATCAGGAAAGCCATAGTCCAAGTCTACATTCTTCAGGCCACAGTCATGTCATCACCATATGCTGCACACCCGAGTATTTATGGCCTGAATCACACACGGAGCCAGTCTTATCTCAGGCAACCATGTTGTCTGCAGCAACATAAGATAAAACCGTGTCAACGATAGGAGCGTGTGCTTTAAATGTAGGTTTCCATGTATTGGATATAATCACACTGGGTCAAAGAAATTTCATATCATTTATCTGTTAATGCAGCATTTGTTTATTTTATGGTACAGAAAAGACAGGAATCAGCTTCTTTGCATCTGATCCTAGGCAGATGGTGAGGCTAAAAGCTTAAGTGTTTAAAGCGGTAATGCTTAATACTTATGTTACTTTCCTATCTAACTGAAGGATAATGATCTCAGAGTTTGTAGAAGTAGCAGAGACTTTTTGGTCCACTTGAAGTTGGAATGAGACACCTGGCCTGTTATTTTAGTCTCACTCTGCTCCCACTAAGTAAGGTCACTGGGTAGAGTCATTTTTGGTACAGAGGATTTGTTAGATAAGACAATTATGATTCAAATAAAGGACTTGTCACTGTGAGTTCCACTTCTGTATGTCTGTTGATCAGGCTTCTCCGGCTGTGCGCTTATATACTGGGAAGAATTTGCTAGGCTTTCGGAGCTGCGCTTAATGCCATCTTTCTCTCTGAAGAGAACTGTTTTATCTTCAACGGTATCCCTTGAGGGGTGGGGGGGGTGGGAAGTCCGACACAGAGAACTATTTAAGATACTTGTATTTCTCCATCCTGAGGCAGGAAAAGCACTCTGAAGAGACTGCAGGGACTGGAGGTAGCAATGCAATAGCAAACTGTGGGCTAGAAAAACCAGGAGAACAAATTTCTTTCCCGACTTTTGTGCTTTATCCCACAACTGTTACTTAGACTCTAAATTCCTTGAGATTAGGGACTTTATCTTTTTCTGTTTTGTATCCCTAGTACAATGCCTACGTAAGTGCTGAAGAAACAGATGAACACATACATGCACAGACAGACAAAGTATGTTCTGTCCTCCAGCATTATGTGTCCATCCCAGCCTTGTGAATGCTGAGAGAGGGAAGCTGATGCCATAGAGTTCTTAGAAGTTTTGAAACTACTGAGAGAAAAACCAGGATTACAGTTTGAATGGAGAATGGGGGAAGTAGCTCAAAGAAAGGTTAATGTTGGTTCCAGATAAATAGTTGGAAAATCATAGCACTAGGAATATTAAAATCTTCAAAAAACAATTATAAGAAAATTGAAAGAGTAACTGCTCTCAGTGATTTTTTTTTTTTAGACATTGTGAAAATCTGCAACTAATTGCTACAGCGTGCCTGTCTTCAGGAGAGTAAGTCATACATGGAGCACACATATATGTGTGTATATGCTTCTTACCTAAACGATTATCCACGTACATTTCCTGAAAAGCCTAGCAATCAGCTAAGCTGGGAGATGACAAATGTGGTTCTCTTTTCCAAAGGCCTAGAGAGGGACAGGCCACATTTTATAACAAAAAGCAGGGACTACACTGAAATGAGAGTAGCTTCATACACAGTGTTAAGGAAAGCCTGCCGGAGATAGAAAGAAAAAAGCCTTCAACTTTTCTTAATTACCTTAAAAATGTGTGCTTTGAGGATGTGATGTCCCAGTTCAATAGTCTGCTGTCGGTTTAGTTTTCCCTCCTGGCGGGAAAACCAGAAAGCAAGTAATGTGTGACCACTCCTGCAAAGAAAAAGAGACTCATTTTAGAATTGTAATGCCCCCGTTCTGCATTGGGTGGGGGACGGTCCAGGTCCAGCCATACCTCCAGCAAAACTCTCTCTCATTCAACCAGTTTCTTAGAGTAGGGTACCTGCTGCTGGGCAAATAATGGGTTTTGAAAGGTCCCTAGCTTTTACCAGTCCCTCACCCAGATCACATGTGTGAATATCACAAAATGTCATTTCTAGTTGGCTTACACCCATCCCACACACAGATGGCATTAAAAGATTCATTTTTATTTTGTCTCTGTGAACTCTCCTCTTATTTTACCCATGCTTTAAATGTCAGTGCTCCTCAGGATCTCCTTTTTGGTCCAAGTCTGTCCTTGCTCCATTAGCTCATCCATCCTGACAGCCTTCACCACCACTGTGTCTTCTTCTTGATCTAGACTTCCGAGACTTATACCATATACATCCAACTGTTTGTTGGATTTCTCCACCTGGAGGTCCCGCAGTATCTCAAGCTCAAAAAATCCCCAGACGGATTAACCACCTCTTCCCCAAGTGAAGTCTTCTTTTTTTTTTTTTTTTAAAGATTTTATTTATTTATTTGACAGAGAGAGACACAGCGAGAGAGGGAACACAAGCAGGGGGAGTGAGAAAGGGAGAAGCAGGCTTCCCGTGGAGCAGGGAGCCCGATGCGGGGCTCGATCCCAGGACCCTGGGATCATGACCTGAGCTGAAGGCAGCCGCCTAACGACTGAGCCATCCAGGCGTCCCCCAAGTGAAGTCTTCTTTGATCCCCTCCACCTTCCCCGCAGCTGAGAAGCAGGGAGTATTTTCTTTTTGGTACAAGCATTATAGATTGTATATCTCTCTTGTACAGTATGTAGCACACTATTTCATGCTCTCTCCTCTACTTGACTGTAGGTTTCCTGACGGCATCCACTCCCCCTTCTCCTTGAAAATGGACCCCTAATCTCTTAAGAAAGAGAAAACTCTCTTTTCTGCCTCTGCATGTTGTCTTATCAGCCCATGATACTCAGAACTGCCATGGCTCTCTCACAATCATGTGGTCATCTGGTCTGAAGACAAAGCTAACAGAACTAAGAGAAATGGAGAAGAATAGAGCCTAAGCCCTGACTGTATGGCATCAGAAGCTGCCTGAAGTTTGGACTTGTTATATGAAGTAATACATTTATACTTTTACTTTATACATTATTGCATACTTTATACATTTATAAAATACATGTATACTCCATTTCGGTTGGAATATTCTAGTTCTTCTAGCTCAAAGCATCCTAATGATATATATTTTTTTTTTCAAAAAGATTTCCTTTATTTATGTGAAGGGGGGTGGGGGTAGGAGCAGAAGGAGAGGGAGAGAGAGAATTTCAAGCAGACTCCATGTTGAGTGTGGAGCCTGAAGCAGGGCTCAATCTCACGACCCCGAGATCAGACCTGAGCCAAAACCAAGAGTCTGATGCCCAACCGAATGCGCCACCCAGGTGCCCCTGATATATTCCTTTAAGTGTGAATGTATGCATGAATGTATATATGTGTGTGTGTATGTATATAACATGTGTGTGTATTTCTATTTACATTATGACAGAAATTCTGAGTTATTTATATTCCCTGGAGTGCCTAACACAGTATATTGTATATAAAAATTCTTGGTAACATTTTTTGGAAGAGAAAGCTGGGTATTAAAGAAAGGGTGCTAGACCCTTTGGGACATGCCTTCTTACCACATTTGCTCTAGCCTGTAGAACTGCAGACACTTAGGACTATCTCTCTACTGCCCACCAGGTCGGTGCTCAGTAGAGTTCTTTATGCCACTGGTAACAAAACTCTTCTATTCCTTACACTTGGAGTGTCACAGAAGAGGAAATGAAACCATTGTCAAAAAGAAGGAAAAAAAATAGCAAGTAAGTTTTCATTGATAATACTTCCCTAAAAAGAGGCCCAAATATCTACTGGATGATTTTCTCTCACTGGCTACTCTGCCAGGTTTAACCAAATTTGGAGATACCTCACACCAAATTCTGAAAAAACAAATACATTTTAAATTTATTTATTTTATTTTTTTCAAGGGTCAGGAAAGACTCTGAAGACTAGAGGATGGGACAACTTACCCAGAAATCATTATAAAGAGATTTCACTCCAAAAAGACTTTAAAAGGAAATTCTACCATGTTCTAACCTTGAGCTTCAAGAATTTCTGAATTCTAGTGGATACTATACCAACTTATTTCACTGGATAAAATTAATCATAATGGAAAGGAAGTTATTTAATTGAAAGAATGTCTGAGAGAAGTGTAGCTTGCATGGAATCATCGGTATCATCCGAAGGTATGAGCCCAGATCGTTTTATGTTCACAAAATCTGGAAATTGCTACTGAACTTTTATATATCCTTTGAAAGCCCAATTTAGTTGGTAGGCTATTTTAACAGAGCATATTAGAAGATGACACACATTTATGAAGTGTCCTATCTCAAGTTCTCAAAGTTCTATCCAGTTATTAACAATGAAATTACTGTAGCCTCCCTGGTGTAAGAGTTATTACTTTAAGTGACTCATCCATAGACTCAGTTACATAATACTAGAACCCCTAAATACAGGCCTCTGATCCACTACCTACGCTTCAGGCCATGCTCATCAGGGTTAAGATAAAAAACTCACATCTGACAAGGAAATGAATTAGACACAGAATTGACGTTGCCCTAGTGCTTTCATTTTACTACCATAACTAAGAAATCCTGGTAAAATGTTTGTATTTCTTTAGTATGCATTCTAGCTAGCTAGAGAGGATAGTGCTTGCGTTTACTGTTGTTGATCTGGCACTAAGGAGAAACAGCAAGCAACATGAATCAAGGCAAAGATGAAGGTGACAACTGCAGTTCATTTCCTTTTGGACACAAGCATATCACAGTATTCATGAAAGAATGGTTCTGATCAGTTCAATGGACTTGGAGTTTATGGTGTTCAGGACACGAAGGAAAACAGCAGTTTATATTATATGCTGGCATTTCCATCTGTCCCTTACTGTTCTGATAAGAAATGGCGCCACCAGCTAACCCACCATCTGAATGTGTTACACTACACTTGTCTGTGTTTGTTTCTATTTTCTAATTATTTGCTCACCTCCAAACCTTACTCCTTTTCACTCCTAGCCTCGCAATTCTGAGATTACCAGCAGCCTCTTAATTGGTTGTCTTTTAGCCTTTGAGCTTTATCTTTTTCTTTTTTCCCTCCAGCATTAGGCCTTATTGACTACCTCCCCTGGAACTCTCTTCTCTTGACATCTGTAACACCACCCTGGTACTTTTTCTCCCATTTCCTTCAGTGATGTAACTTCTCTGCTTTATTTCCCATTTCCTCTTATTTCCTAGGTCTCCTGGCTTCAGCTCTCACCGCAGTGACATCTCTAGCACAGACATATTGTTTTGCTTCTCTAATTGCCTGATGGATCTCTCCTTCCTTCAAACGATCATTCAAATGACCTGTCATAATGACACTACTTGAAGCTGAAGGTCTCCCTCAAAACCAAATCCATGTAGGATTTCTTTATTTTTTAATATACTGCCAGTCACTCAGGCATAAAATCTAGCAGTTGTATTTCTACTCTCTTTATACTTTCTCTCTTGGATAATTGCAAGAGCCTCCTTCTCTCCACTTCCTGCTCCCTGGCCCATGCCAATAATCCACAGCGCAGAAACATGACAAAAAGTCTGCTCAAAATTCTTCAGTGACTTTATACTTCCTCCCATACATAATCTAAACTCAGCATGGTATTCAAAGGCTCTCCATAATTTGTCCCTTGCCTGTTTGTCTTTACCTTTTTTTTTTTACCTTGTGCTTCCAATTTCAGACGGAGTAAATTATTCTAGGTTTTCAAATATGCTTTCCCTCTGCTTGTAATTCTCTTCCCCTTTTAGTTCATCAGGGCAAACTATTTCTATTCTTGAAGTCTCAGTTCACACCGTCTCCTCTGTGAAGTCCTCCCTGGTCCCACCAGATAGACTCAGGGGCTCTTTCCCTTAGATTCTTGTACTTGGTACACACCCCCATCACACCTACTGCAGCACGCTACCTGTCTGCATGTCAGTCTTCCCACAAGACTCTATGGAGGCTGGAAGCCATGTTTTTCACACATGTACTCCTAGGCAATAGGAACACGTATTTGTAGAATGACTGAATTAATAATACCGTAAAGTTGCACACTACCTTATGGTTTTAAAAATACTTTAACACTTTAGATTCTCACAAACACCTGTACTATAGACACAGGACTAAATATTACTCCTAATATTATGGTGGAAGACGGAGACTTGGCAAGACTGAAGGACAGCTCCCAGCTCACATGGCTGGGATCAAAAAGAACTGGGATGAGAACCCAGGGTTTTCTGAAACCAAGTTCTGTTAACACACTGACGAGATTTGCAACTTGGTTTTCATTTCTGTGAGAAATGGGCATATTTATGTGAAAAAGTCAACCAATATAAAGAGTAGTGTATTCATTTGTATGGTATAAACCCCAAATTCTTAACACAATTAAAATCAGCAGTTAATTTTGACATTTTTTGATTGGCATTTTGGGAGAGACTAGTTAAGAAACAGAGGGAACCCTCATCAGTGTGACATGAGTTTAAGCATGACTGAACACAACTGTGTCTTCCCTCTATAATTAAAGATAGTGGTAACCAAAGTCAACTTTGGTGTGGGCTCATATGTGGTGATAAAGACCAAATGGGGGGGCAGTGGTGAAAGCAGAATTATTTTCACATAGTTTATATATAATGAGATCACCTTGTGATTCAAAGTTACATAGCAAACTTCCCTGTCTGCATTCACAGTGCTGCCTCTTCATCTCTGAAACAAAATCAAAATAGACCTATGTTCAAATCCTGGTTCTGTCACTTAGAAGCTTTGTAACCTTGGAAAAGCTACTTAACCTCTCTGTAAGACAGGAATAGTGATAACGACCTCTCAGGACTGTGGTGACAATTAAGTGAGCTATAT